TGATGGATTGATGGATAAGCAAAATGTGGTATATACATACAAGAGAATATTATTCAGTCTTAAAAAGGAAGGAAATTCCACAATATGCTACAACATGGATGGGATTTGAGGACACTATACTAGGTGAAATAAGCCAGTGACAAAAAGACAAACGCTGTATAATTTCACTTATACATGGTACTTAAAGTAGTCAAAATCACAGAGATAGAAAGTAGAATATTGGTTGCCAGTGGCTGAGGGAGGGAGGATGGAGAGTTATTGTTTAATGGGTATAGAGAATGTCAGTTTTACAACATGAAAAGAGTTATGGAGATGGACAGTGGTGATGGTTACACAACATTAGAAATGCTTTTAATACCACTGAATTGTATACTTAAAGAAGATGGCAAATTTTATGTTACGTGTATTTCACCGTTATAAAAATTTTTTAAGAAAAAAATGCTCACAGGAAAAAAAAAAAAAAAGGTTAGCTTTAGTTCCCCATCCTTTCTATCCAGGCTGGTCTAGAGACTAGCTTTGACTATCACAGTGCAGAGGAAGTGACACAGTGCAAGTTCTGAGTTTAGGCTTCAAGAGACTTTGTAGCTTTTCTTACTCTCAGAACCTGCTGCTGCTGCATGTGAACAAGCCTGGGCTAGATTCCTGTATGATACAGGACTACATGGAAAGAGAAAGCTAGCTGTCACAGCTGAGGCCCTAGACATATTAGTGAGTCCAGATTTGGTAGGCAGGCTCTAAGAATGATAATTGCCTCCTGGTGTTCACACCCTTCTGTATCCTGCCCTTTGAGTATGGCCTGGCCTACAGACTTGCTTCTAACCAACAAAATGTGGCAAAAGTGATGAGATGTTATGTCTGTGATTAGGTTACATAAGTTTGTAACTTCCGTCTTGCTAGAAGGTTGTCTCTCGTGCTGGCTTTGATGAGGCAAGTTGCTATGTTCAAGAGGCCCAAGTGATTAAAAAAAAATGAGGGCAGCCTCTGGCTAACAGCCAGCGAGAAACTGAGGTTCTCAGTCCAACAGTCCTTAGGGAACTGAAATTCTACCAACAAACGAGTTTAGAAGAAATCCTTTTCTAGTTGAGACTTCAGATGAGATCTCAGCCCTGATGACACCTTGATTTCAGCATTGTAAAAGACTGTTGGATAACACTCTTTAAATTTTGGACATATGAAACTTTGACAAAAACAAAACTAAATTCAAAAAAGAAAG